TGACATGTCATGGGGTTGTTAACCAATGTCATAAAACAATATGTTTACTACTGTTTAATGAGAAACTATTTGTTCTGTAAACCTTCACCTGAAGTACAATAAAAAAAAAAAAAAGAAAATTAAAAAAAAGAGGACCCAATGCCGGAGGGGGGCCTGGAAGTTGCTGATTGTGGCGGGAGAGAGGCCAAGAAATGGTAGAGAATAGGAAATGGAGTGAGAGGGTCCCTAGAAACCCTGATGTTTACAGGGGGAGGAGTAAGGACACTGAGGAAGAGCAGCCAGAAAAATATCGGGACCAGAGGACTTTGGGGCTGCCTGTGGGGTATAGATTCTTCCTTCTACCTGTCAGGATCCTCTGTGTTATAGACAGCTTTCCTGCAGACTCTCAGTATAATGAGTGTATAGACACGTCCCACTCTGGACTTCCTCTAGGATTGTCAGGGTTCTGTGGGATCTATTCATCTACTCCTCTAGATGGTCAGGATCATCTGGAGTGTGGAGAGCTCACTTTCTTCCAGATCCTCAGAGGTCTCTTCTGCTAAGGACACCTCTTCCTCCAGACCATCGGTCCCTCCTCCTCTAGACTGTCAGGAACCCTCTAGGGTGTGGACACCTCCTCCTTCCTCCAGACTGTCAGGGTTCAGCATGTGGACATTTCCTCCATGACACCATTAAGACTGTCTGGGGTGTGGACATCTCCTTGCTCAGACTGTCAGGGGCCTCTGGAATGTAGATTGCTCCACCTCTGGAGTGTCTCTGTCCCTGTGGGGTATGACTCTTCCCACTCTACTATTCCTCAGTGTGGACACTCTCAGGTGTGTGTCCCTTAAGCCAGTTTCTGTCACTTCCCAACCAAGTCACACTCCTAAGGGACCTATGGAAATAGATGGAGGTACTTTCGGTGGTCACCATGACAGGGCACACACATAGATTTCAATGAGCAAGGTCCATGGATGCTAAATGCCCTCTCATGTATGAAACAGCTCTACAAAACAAAGAACTGTCCCACCCAAAATGCCCACCACATCCCACCCCTCCATTGAGAAATACACCCTTAGACTGTGACACTTTCTGTTGCAGACACTTTCTAGTTATTTACCCAACCCCCCTTTGTTTTCTACCTGGACACACAGCTAAAGTGCACTTCCCAGCCTCCCTTGTTCGAGCCAACGAATGTGAGCAGAAGTGATGTACACTGTCCAGGTATGACCCATTACAAACCTCCCCTTCTATCCTCCACGCTCTTGCCCTGCTTCCAGGCAATGCTGAGGACCTAGTGGTCAACTCCAAAGCTCTAAAGCACAGCAAAGGCATAAGAGGGAAAGAGCCCAGGTCCCCAAGTCACTGTGTGAAAGGACACCCATCCAAACACCCACACTGGACTCTTCTTACAGGAGCAAGCAAACTTCTAACATGAGAAAGCACTAAGATTTGCGGGTGGTTTATTACAGTGGCTAGCGGGCCTTATATACCCTCCCTTTTCTCAGTGTCCTAAAAGTCTAGAGGAGGAAGTGCCCAACCTCTGTCCAAAGCATGTCTACATTCTACTCCAGACCATCAGTGTTCCTTTTGTGCAGATAAGAGAAAAGTGCCCCTTCTGGGCAAACACTGCTTGATAATAAAATGGTACCCTTGTGAAATGAGAAAAGGAAGTGCCTTTTCAGGGGATGCAACTCTGTGCCTTACCACATGGCTTGTTAAAAGGAATGCTGCCTGAATTTCAGTCCCCACTCTTCCTCTTTGCTAGGTACCCCTATGAAGTCAACTCAGCTTGGAAGTATTTCAATGGCTATACTGCTGTGTACCAGCTTGGAATGTTAGCACTGCCAGATGATTAAAAGCCTCAGGCCTTTCCCACAGGGAAAGCAGGGAAATTTAAGGCACACACAGTGAGGAGAGCAGGGCACACACATTGGAAACACATGGGGGGAACAGCTACACACACACACGCACATACACTGTCTCATCTCCATACCTCTCCCACGTACTCCATGACAAAGCTGTTCTTGCGGATCTTCTCCAGTGTGCGGACGCCCCAGCCACGCCCATCATCTGTGCGGAAGATGCAGAGGTCGTAGCGAATGCCCTTCTGTACTACACGATTGGGGCAGTCATAGCCACAGCGGCAGCGTGAGTTGCACTCGTAGATGGGCAGCCCGGCTCGCAGCCGCACCTGGCCCTGGTCGTTGTAGGCAAACTTGTGCAGTGATGCCCCCGGGCAGCAGCCTCCAGCAGGAGCCCACAAACAGTCCTGGCACTCGCAGCCCACAGCCACCTGGTTGAGCGTGATGCCCTCACCAACACGGTACTCATTGATGTACACAAAGGCCCGCGGAGGCCCATCCAGGTCCACCTCATTCTCCACAGTGATGCGTCCCAGGTGGCTGCGCTTGGCATTGAGCTCCTGCTCCCACCGCCGCAGTGCCCGCCTCTGCTTGGCCTTCTGCACCAGGTAGTTGGCCAAGCTTGGGTCCAAGTGCCGAGGTGGCTTTGACCGGTGGTGTCGCCGGAGCAGCTCCCTTTCTAAGTCCTTGTGGAACTGCTTGAGGATGCGCACACACTTGAGATTCTGCCGTGGCTCCCAGGTGCTCTCCGAGTCTGGGTATCCACGCCACTTTACCAGGTAATACTCCTGTTCCTGTTGGGGGGCAAAGGGACAAGGGCACCATAAGTGGTGCGACCCTTGTGCTAGCCCTTGTGGGACTTCCACTCCAAAGCATATGGCTAATGCCCACACCACTCCTCTCTGCCCTTTTCTAGAATAACTCCATACAGCGATTAGAAAGCATGGGCTTTGGAGTGAGGATTACTAGGTTCAAATCCCACTCTCCTACTTGACACCTGTCCAAATTCCAGCTATTAATCTAATATCCCAAACCTACTCCCTCTGCTATCTTCCCCATCTCAGTAAACATGAGCTCCATCCTTCTAGCTGTTTGAGCTCAAATTCTTGGAGTCATCCTTGACTCCCCTTTTTCTCACACTCCCCACATCCATCTTCAGCAAATTCTGCCAGCCCCACCTTCAAAATACCTCCAGAATCCAACCACTTCAAACCATCCTCACTGCCACCACCACCATTGCTTGCCTAGATTGTGTCCCCTTGCTTCCACCCTCACCCCCTATAGCACAGATTCTAGAGTTAGACACTGTGGGTACAAATCCTGGATCTGCCACTCCCTGGCTGTGTAACCTTACATAAGTCATTTAACTTTGCTGGGCCACATTTTCCTCATCTGTAAATAATAGCTAACATTTTTCTAGCATTCATTATGTAGCAGGTCCCATTCTAAGCAATCTCCATGCATTATTAAGTAATTTATTTCTCACAACCCTATACAAGCTAGATACTATTGTCATCCCCATTTTACAGATGAGGTAAATGAAGTACAGTTTGGGAAAGCAGCCCGCGGTTACACAGCCAGGATTTGAACCCATGCATGTTGGCTCTAGTCTTAACTATCCTTAACTAACCTCCTCTAGCAATGGTAACAGTTCCCACTTCACAGTTGGGGGAGTTAAATGAGTTTCTTAGGAAGTGGCTGGCACACTTAAGTACTCAGTAACTGTTACCTATCATCATCTCCACTCCTGGGCTCATCATCTAAGAAGTATTCTCAATCTTTGCAATTGGTTTGTCTTCCTAGGGAGGTGGGAAGAAAGACTTATTTGGGGATTCATCCTGGCTTCTGCCCCCTCAGAAAGCTAATTTCCCCACCTGTAAAATGGGCATGAGATATCTTTTAGGATCAAAGGAGAAAATTCCCTTTGGAAACAGATGCAGGCAGTGGGGGGCAAGAAGGCAGGAAGCTAACTACCTTGAGACCCCCTCAGGATTACTGTCACCCTCAGACTCACGCGAATCTTCTTGTAGTCACACAGGTACTCGACTTCAAAATCATAGAGATTCCTCTTGGAGATGCCCAGGGAAGGGCAGGAGAGCTTGGCCAGGCGGCACAGGTCCTGTAGCTGATTCCAAGAAGACTTGCAACACACGCTGCAGCCTAGAACAAGGGGGCAGGAAGAACTATTACTGGGTAGCCTGGCCAAGCCAAGGGCCAAAGGGGACCCCAAATCCTCCCTGGGACTTTCCAAGGACTGCCTCAGAGTCAGTCAAATTTAATACACAGGGCTTTCCGAAAGCTGGGACCCTTCCACAACCAAAATGTGCCACTTCCTTGAACCCCAAGACTCACTGCTCAAGGCTACTCCCTGGATCAGAGGTCCTCAAAGTAGGGTTTCCTGCACAGATTGTCCTAAAGGAATCAATTCCCAGAGCTTCTAACTCCCTCTATTTGTTAAAACTTCCAGCAAACCTGCCTAGGGTTCAGGATCAGAGCACCCTTCTCCTCACTTTGCAAAAGAAAGGGAACAACCCCCCCCATCTCAGTAGGATGCATTGCCCCAAGGGGAAGGTGTGTGTGTGGGGGGAATTAAAACCTCCACAGCACAAAACAGGCAAAACTGGAAAGACTGGTCCACAATCTCTTATCTGAAGGGGGGGGGCAGATATGTTTTAGGGTTTTTTTGTATTTTTTTTTACAAATGTATTTCTATGTATCTACATTACCTAACACCCCCAGCACAGTCAGGGATACTATGCCATAATCAAATGCATTAATATATCTACAGCAAAAGTAAGAATTTTCACATTAAATAGGAGAAATAAAGATGTAAAATAGTGGCACTAAATAGTCCTACCTTATAATCTAGTTTTGCCACTGAATGGTGCCCAATTTAAGAAAAAGATTTCAGTTTTCAGGGCTTTTTAGATTTCAGAATTTTTAATAAAAGAATGTGGAATGGTAGATCACAGGCAACTTCCTTGAATGAGTAGTCTTGGTACCTTAAACCCCACTGCATTTTTTTCACATTGTGGTTTGACTTTCCCTGTCTCATCCACATTTCCATGAAGGGTAAAGCTAGCCCAAAGGGGTATGTTCTCAATTCAGGAATAGGCACAGCAGTATATGTTTGTGACGAGTCTTTTAAATATACCTGGAATGTTTTCTGGGGCTAACAAAAAATTTTAAAACACACTAATTAAAAAAATAAAGATTGATACTTGATTCCAGACACATTCTTTTAGAAGCCATTTTATCAAATCATTTCACAAAACACTTATTCCAGGTATAGTCAGCCCTCATCCTATTTTAGTTTTTAAATGTTTAATATTTTCTACCTCCCATTACAAAAATCAAGCTTATTTAAACTCACAATAAAATACTTAATAGTCAACCTAAAAATATACAAGTGCTTTTCAACATTATTTCGTGTGCACGTCCCTCCTCCACTTAGGCAGGCCTAGACTCTTCAACTGTGTATCTCCCTTCCAGACTCTGGGCCTATGCCCAGGCTTTCCTCTCCTTATGATGCCTCTCCCTTCCAAACCCCTATACTCGCATTCAAAACCCCCCATCTCAAGTGGTCCCAACTAACATCACCAGCTGCTGGCTCCAGCATGCACTTTGCACTGACCCAGCTGCACTTTGCTAGCCCTCAGAGGTCCCCCTCACACTTGTGGTCTCTCATCCTCCCCGCAGCTTTCCTCACACAGAGGAGCCCACCCTACCACCCCCCATACTGAGAAAATCACCCCTTTCCCCGCACACTGGGGAGTCCACTCTTCTATTAGGGAAGCACCTTCCCCTCATCCTAGGGGAGTCCACTCTACTCCAAACCCCCTCCCTCCTTACCCCTGAACAGCACCCTGTCCCCCCACTGAGTGAATCACTTAGCATCTGTGCCCTAGGGTCGGGCCCCTTCTCCTCCCTTTCCGGCGTCTCGCGTGGGCACCAGGCGGGTAACGGTCACCGGCGGCCCATTTTCCCGCGCGCGGGCGCGGCCTCCCGGACAACCTCCCGTGCGAACACCAGCTGATCCTGTCGCGACCTGGGGCGCGCGCCCCCACGCCTGCCCCATCTCGCGCCCGCCCTTCGCCCCGCGCCGGCAGTGTTCCGAGACACGCGCCCCTTCCCACAGCCCCGCCCAGCCCCGCGCACCAGGCCCGCGCTCCCCGAACCCCATCCTTTCTGCGCCAGGCTTCCAGCTGCCCGCTCCGTGACCTCGGACGCCGGGCCCCCGAGCCCGCCGCGCCATCCCTCCAGCCCACCCCGGCCCTGCCAGCGGGCCCGCGCCGCTGCCGCCACCGCTTCACCTTTTAAATTTTCCGCCATCTTTCCCCACGGCTAACGACATTCGGGCCTACCCGGCCTCGCGAGAAGAGAGCTCGCGCGGGCGTGGCCGAGCACGCACAGCCTATTGGCCACGCCGCGCAGCGAGCGGCGCCCGCGCGGACCAACCGGCGAGCGTGACCGGACGCTCCCCGCCACCCAGCCGGTCCCGAAGGCGGGTGCTCGCCTGCGGTTTCCCAGAGTGCGTCTGGGTGGCGGCAGCAGCGGCACCGGTAGCTGGAGTTGTCAGAGGCCCTGCCTGTACGCGGGTCTGTCTGTCAAGCTGTTAGCCAATCACGTTGTCAACAGTTGTAGAGGGGGAGTCTCCGTCCTGTCAGACCCTCAGTTACCACTGTCAATCAGTCAGTCGCCCCATTCAGGTCACCACAGCTGTCTAGTCAGACACCCCGCCCCCCTTACACCCTATCAGTCTGTCAGGCGGTAGCAGCATCCGTTTGTGCCCTCAGGCCAGCTGCAATTCCCTCAAGGCAGACAGACAGCACTTACTAGCAGCTCCACTGTTAGCCAGCCTGACTGCTCCTTCTTCACGCTGTCAATCAGTCAGCCTGTCATATACCATCTACCCTTGCCCTGGGACCTGGAGGAATCATCTCATACACCGCTCAGTAAGCCACAGCATCCGGCCATGTCCTCAAGCAGGCTGTGACTGGGTCAGGAGAAGCTGTCATTGTCAGCATCTAATACAGCACTGTCACCCTGTAACTCCCTCAGGTTACTACTCATTCACACCATGATCAGGCAGTTACTCAGTCTTAACACCCAGCTAGGCCCTCAGAGCAAATAGTCATAGCAAATAATGGTACAATAGAGCCTCCACACCACCTGTCAGTAGGTCAGCCAGTCTGTAATTTCTCAGGCTACTCATCCACACCATTGGCCAGTCAGTCAGTGTCCTGTGATCCACTGGGCCCTCTCAGGGAGGCTGTGATTCCATCGGGGCAGACAGTCCACAAGCATGTACAGTCATCAAGTGAGGTAGCTATGCTAATTTATGAGTTGGTCAGGCAGCCTGTGATTCCTTCAATCGGTCCTTCATCATATTGTCAATCAGCCAGGTTGTCATCCTCAGAATCTAATTGACCATACTGTCTGTCAGAGAGTCAGTCAGTCAGAGCATCCATCCAGGTCCTCAAGCATGCTGTGATTCAGTCAAGAAGGACAGTGTCTTAGTTATCTAGTGCTGCTACAACAGAAATACCACAAGTGGATGGCTTTAAAAAAGATATTTATTCTCTCACAGTCTAGTAGGCTAGAAGTCCGAATTCAGGGCACCAGCTCCAGGGGAAGGCTTTCTCTCTCTGTTGGGCGGGTCTGGAGGAAGGTCCTTGTTATCACTCTTCCCCTGGACTAGGAGCTTCTTAGCGCAAGGACCCCGGGTCCAAAGGACACACTATTCTCCTGGCTCTTGTTTCTTGGTGGCATGAGATCCACCCCCACCCCGTTCTCTCTGCTTGCTTCTCTCTTTTATATCTCAAAAGAGACTGACTCAAGATACAACCTAATCTTGTAGATTGAATCCTGCCTCATTAACATAACTGCCTCTAATCTTGCCTCATTAACATCATAGAGGTAGGATTTACAACACATAGGAAAATCACATCAGATGACAAAATGGTGGACAATCACACAATACTGGGAAT